CAATGTTGAGCAGTGTGCTTAGGTTCTCTGCAATATAAACATAATCCTTCTTGACGACGACAAATCTTTTCTTGCTCAGTTAGGGGTTTAAAACGTACCGCATCAATTTGCATGTCTTCTACTTCCGAATGTACGTTTGGCAAAGATGTTGATGTTGCCATTGAGTAATAATGTTGAGGTTCCCGTGAATGATTCTCAGATCGAAATTCGAAAAGTCGATTATCACATTTTACCGCAAAATCGATTGCTTGACTCAAAGTTTGAGGATCAGGTAAGTTGAACATCAATTTCTTTACTTCGTATTGCAATCCATAAAGAAATTGATTAATGAGTGTAGCATCATCCCACTTGATGTCAATTGTAAGTTGTCGAAATTGTGAAGCATACACTGTTACTGAGCGATTTTTTTGTCGCAGAATTCGGATCTTATTTGTTGCAACACGAGTTGCATCGTGTTCACCATACATAGATCGAAACTCCGCCAAAAAAGCTTCTAAATTGTCCAATATTGGATTTCGTTGTTCAAGAAAAGACGAAAACCATGATAATGCAGAACCAGAAAGTAGAGTGCCAATAAACTTGACTTGTGATCCCGGAGTTGGATAGCTTTGCGGTTGAAGTTCAATTGCCAATTGTACTTGATTGATGAACCCTCGAAACTTAGATCTCGTACCATCAAATTTCTCGGGTAAGGCAATTCTTGGTTCTCTAGTGCTTACAGGGTGTTGTACAATTGGAGAAGGAACGTGATTTGTTGTAGATGTTGAAGCAGCTCCGATCATCTCTATATCCCCACTTTCTGCTATTCTTGTTCTTTCATGTGTTGGTGAATTGAGTTGATGCATCGCAAGCATTAACTCCCTCATTTGCTCTTGCATTTGTGCCATTGCACTCTTCATTTCAACAAGCTCTGCCATAATGACACTAAGAAAAATTTGTTTGATACTGCTCAAGACAAAAGAAAAGAAAGACTTGATAACAAAGAAGATACTAAGAACAATATCAGTTTAGAAGTGGGTAATCCGCAAACTTCTAATACGCTTATGTCTTGTCAAGAGAAAGGGGTAATCCACTCTCACTCAAGAAAAACAAAGCTCTGATATTGTAAGTGTACTCTTCTCAATCTGTCAAGGACAAAGACTCGATGAGGGAAAATATACACAAAAAGGCTACCTCGATATAATAAGTCAAAATATAAACAAGTAGGTATATTAAAAGGAAATTGGAATGGTTATTGCCACAAGACAAGAAACTAAAGACTCTTGAACCTGGACTAGAAGCAAGAAAGGAGTTGACAAGAGTGAAGAAGCCTTCACTCTTGTCTCTATATATACTATCTAACTAGGGGCTACGTGGCGACGTTATATAGGACCTCCAATATGTGTTGACTTTGTAGGACACATGCCTTGACTTACAAGGCAAGTTTTTCTACGTGTGGGCCACATAGTTAGCTTGATCTTCAAGCTAACAACATGTGTGGCACATGGCCAACTTGTTGACCACGTTTCTAATCCAAAAAGTCAATTAAAGACACCTATGAAGTCAAAGCAACGTCTAGGAAGTTTCTAGGAAGCTTCTATATTAAATATTATAGAATTAACTTACTTTTATCTACTTTTACTTACTTCTACCTATTTCTATATGTAATTATTAGCTTACATGATTATGGCCGTGACAGAATGAGATTTGATGAGAATGTCCCAATTGAAATTTTTCCATTAGAGAAATGGAAAAATATTGCAAATCAAAGAAAGATAATTTCAAAAAGGTAAAATGAAGACAATATGGTGTATTATGTAATGTTACATTTTATTAATTTTATTTTTCTTTATTTGTATTTCTTTTAATTTTTCACTTGTTTAGGAGACACAATACGATGTAAAATTTTGGTCTTCATGATAAAAAAGAAATGAAGGTGAACTCAATTTTAAAGACAATTATTTTATTTTTTAAAAAATATTGATTGTGATACAAGGCCTTTGCAAAGATAAAATGTATTAGGGTTATTTTACAAAAATAAGTACAAGTTCCTACAATATGTGCTCAATAATAAAATATTCTCCTTTTTAAAATGAGTAAAAACTAATCTTTAATGCTTATATGATTATCATTTATATAGACCATTAAATGGCTAAAGATGGAACTCAAAAGCTTGATGCATTTTAATAAATTGAAAAATGCTCACAATAACTGCAAGCGTCATTGATGATGTGTTTGTGTATGGTAAGTAACATAATCATTTTTGGGCAGATTTTTAATCCGTTTTAATAGCCTTTTTATTTTTATAATTATCATTGTAATTACTATTTTGCACTGAGTGATACACAAAATTGATTAAAACTAATCTTGTTTATCTGATCTTGAAAGTACTAACAACAACTCAGCATGTTGATGTATTAAAGTTCTAAGTGAAAAAATAAAAAAAATTCGAGACAAACTCTTGAAAAACAAATCAAATAAACAAAAAAGAAGAAAGAGTAAAACGACAGCATGCTATAAACAGAATGATTCCATGAATAAAAATTTAAATTTAACGAGATCACTCTCTCTATGTATATACATGTCTATAAATCTATCTATCTGCACACAGGTACATGCAGACACAGATATAGATCAATACACATCATAAAACACTTCCATGAGGACACTATACAGTAGCAACAATGTTTCTTAAGAAAAACCTACAAAAATACGCACACAGTCTCTATTCTCCATGAATGAAACACAATAAAAAAAACGAAGAAGTGAATGAGAAAGAAAGAACAAACAAACAAAGGAACAAACAGCATGCAAAAAGATAGCATGGAACAATGCACAGGAACCAACCAGTCCATGCAAATGAGAAACAACCAGTTACATTCCAACAACAACAACAACAACAACTTGTTCGATGTAAGACAGACTGTATGGGATTCAACAATGAACAGACAACGATGTAGCCCAACTTACCACATGATTCCATTCACCGAGGGCACATGAATTCGCATCCCGGAACATGAGCCCTGCTCAACTGCAACAACACTGGAGCAGCAGCCTCGGAGGTATCCACCGCCAGCGCGGAGGCACAGTGTGCCGCGACGGAATATGAATGCGCGTGGATCAGATCCCAGGCAGGAAGGAAGGAAGGATGGCAGGAGCTAGAAAGAAGAAGAGGACGAAGGAGAAGGAGGGGGTGGGACAATCGAGGTGTGGGGAAATGTAGACGGCGCGTGGTTTCTGGGGCTAGGCGGATCACGAATCGCGAGACGAGGAGGCGGTGAAAACAACAATTTCATGCTCTGGTTTGCCAGAGTTTACTCTCCGGCATCTCGGAAAGGTCGGTCGCAGGTGGGGGGAAGATCCGCCGCGTGCTCCTCCTCGTCCTCCTCCGATGGATCCATCGATCCTTCGATCCACCGTCTCGTCTTCCAACACGCAGACCGCGACGCGCAGGATAGTTATATAAATAACTATATATATATATATATATATATATATACATAAACATATAGTTGTGTGCGGGTGTGAGTGTGTGTGGGTGTGTGTGAGTGGGAGTATTATACAAAGCTGCTCGCTGAAAGTCCATCTTGGAGTGTTCTAGTTGCTGCGGCCGGCACGGTAACGTCAGCCTGCGACCACGGCTCCCACTCACCAATTATGGTTAAAACGAATCTCTGTCAGGCATCGGGTTGATTTCTCCGTCCATGCATTGAATTGGTAGGCGATGCAGTGTCAGCAGCTGCCGCGAGTTCTCACCTCGAATATCAACCGGGTTTTAATTTAACCAGGTTTAGGCCAAAATTGGCAGCACTTCACGGTGTCCAATGTGTGCGGAATGAGCCCAGTCGTCTATGAATGTGTTTTTGCAAGCACCGTGGTTGCTCGGAAGGGCACCTATTCGTTGACTGCGAAGCAGTGCCGTTGATGGAGCTCAGCCCTTCCGTCAAGGAGGACAGCTCTTCTCGGGCATCGCTCCGGGTAATCTGGCGATGTCCGAGAAGGTGTCGGATTAGGAGCTGGCTGTGGTGATTGCCTCTTGAGAAAAGGTGCTGTTGTCTGTAACCTCGGGTTTCCTGGTTTCAACGCCTCTTCAGGGCTGGCAGAGCTACCGCTTGGTTTAATAGCCCCAACCGCACTGTGCTTCGTTGTAAGTCCTACCCAACTGTCGTTGAACCAGTTGTTTTGAGTGCCTTTCTAATATCCACATGTTGACTAGTGATGACAAAATCTTTAGCATCTGCACAAATCATCCCTCGAACACGCTAAAGCTCGCGTTGGCCCCACTGTCCGTGTACTTCACCGTTGGCCTACACCAGACCTCACGTGAGGTTGTTTGGGCGATGGCGATTTGAATGCTGTGCTTAGAAGCTAGTGCAAAAGAGACGAAGTGTTCGCTCACAATCAAAGCACCGCATTATTGTTGTGCGACACAACTGGAAAGCTAGGTGAAGATAGAGCCAATGCCTCAGACACCAAACTACGGATACTTTTAATACAATACATAGGAGGAATGTGTTGGTTGTGAGCTTCCAGACCAATCTTTGCATAACAAGTGTCAGCGTCGGTCTTCCACAGCTCAGTCCTCTTAACGAAGATCACTATGTACTAGAAACTACGCAAAAAAGTTTCTGAACTTCTGCGTAAATTTGACTTTGTTTGGACATGTTGGTGGAACATTGACTGGCAGTGAAGGAGATTGTTGTTGAAAACTGGTCGCACGAGAAGGGCCGAAAGCTCCAGACTGGCAAGCCACCGTCATCATATATGTATTAAATGGGTGGTTTCGGTTTGTCAAAATGGGAGAGCTAATGTGGAAATTTTCAGCAACACTACATGGTGACGACATGCTGTTCGATTCAAAACGTTGAGAGGTTCTGCACACTTGTGCCAGTATGAAGCATGTGACTCTGTATCTTGTTGAAATTTCTGTGCTAGTTTTGTAATTCAGTCATAACCTTAAAAAAAAAAAAAACTTACCTTTGTGGACAACTATTTCGATCTTGTTTTGTACATTGATTTGTTCTAGCAAGTGCGAATTTTTATAGATATTTAAAGTAAAATAATACCCATGCATAATTCTTGAACAGAAAATGTAGATTCTGTGGTTGTTTAATTTTGGATGTATTCATTTTATGGTAGACAGAATAAATAAATAAATAAATGGAAAAGAAGAAATTGTTGGGTTGATTTGAGATTTGTGAACAAAGATTCAAATTCGAAGACCGGTCTTAGAAGCCTCCACATCGCAAGTGAAGCAAGCTGGAGACACACCTGGCCACTCAAAAGGCACCTTACTTTGAAGCAAGATATTTTTGGGAATCCTCAATTTAATATACTTCAAACTCACCAAGTTTTGCAGATGCAAATCTGTGACAGAATCATCGATGTATGCAGATTTGTTTGAAATGTTGATTTCTCATATTTGGATTGTTTCCGGTAGCTTCAAATCTATTGCGGGGAAATTCATCTGGCAACACACGGCAAACATGGTTTCTGCAACGCCACCCAGGAAGAATAACCTAATGGGATTTGATTACTGAAAAATTTGGTCAGAAATCTGGCGACAGTTTGCGAGAGACAATGTCACTGCTCCAGAAGGGGGCTTGCGAGTCGCTACCAGTTCTTCGGCTTCTGATCCGAGCCTTGGAAAAAGCGCTGTTATCCCTTCTAAACTTGCCGCCGAATGAACATGAGGGGGAGAAAGGTTTTCCCGTGTCAGAGGGGGGCGGGTAGAGTCAGTCCCCAATCACCGGTAACTAAGCCCACCAACAGGATTAGAGGGGGACAAAGCTGAGAAACAGCTTTGCTAAAAGACAATATGCTCAAATGATCACATCTGACCTCCCAGAACCGTTCACTTCGCAGCCCCTTGGAGACAGCTCCAAGGAGAAGCGCATATCCTTGGTTGCTGGTGGAAGAATCATCTACCAGCTCAGTAAGACGGGCTTCCTTGTCATCATCTTCATCGTCACCAGAGGACCTCCACCCATGAAAAGCCTCCATTTCTCTTTCATCCCCTGTTTAAAAGGTAGTAAAGAAATTGAGCGATTTGAGTAGATTCTACTTTGACTTGGTAATTAGCACACATCTTTCAGTAGACTTGTCCCTTTGGGGGAATGGCAGTCGGAGGATTGAGAGCATGTCAACTCGTCAAGCCGTTGTATAAGCTTGGGTCGTTGAGGTGGCAGAACAATGATTCTGTCGAGCTCCTTGTACGTAGGAGGGATACAGACTCTGATGGGATAACACAGGGGTAGAGGAGGCAGAGGGGTCAGAAGGGTCAGAAGGGCAAGGTTGCGGTGTCCGATATGCCTGGAGGGTCTGGAAGTTTAATGCAGAACGAAAGAAACATGGCAGTCGCCAGTCTGAGCTCTTACAGTGGGCAGAACTTCAAGCTTATGCGAAACATTGGCAGCAACACCAACTCTCTGGTTGCAATGCTTCAAGGCTCGTGCTCTCCTCGCATAGCATCAAATCAAGGTGTGTCTCATATGCTTCTCTGTCTCTTCCCTATAATAGGCACATGCAATTGGAGTTGTATGAGGTGTTGGAATGCGAGTCGGTTTCACAATGCAGGTTGCTAATCTATTCACATCTTTGAATGATGCTCGTAGTCGAGTAGGAAGAGCAGAGTTTTAGACACCAGAGATTGACGAACCATAGCCATTAGAAAAATCGTTTTGCAGAGGACCTCCGTAGAGGTAACATCTTGATGTTGTAGAATGTTGAGAGCATTGATGGTACATTGATAATTGTGTCGATCGATGTAATTTTGGTTGCTCTGATTCTGGATACAGTTCCTTGTGCGACTACGCGGTCGAGCATTTCTTGTTATGCAGAACAGACAACCATGACTTTGGTTCTGACATTCATGTCGGTAGGTCGTGCCAATGTCTGACCTTACCGTTTGTTGGATTCATGTTTTCCTCCTTGAAGTCACGCTGTCGGTCGTGTTCGTTCTATCCCTGAGGCGCAGAGTACTGCACAGTTCCTGCAGAAAGTGACACACAGGTGTCGTCAATGAACAGGTTGAACCACCTCTGGCACGAGTTGATTCGTAGTTGATGTCTCCAGAATGCGCTTCGGCACAGGTTGTGTCTGTGGATCCATGTCCTCACCTTAGGCTACATGACATGTCCGGGAAATCGAAGAGTTTGAGTGGGTGTTGGGGTGAGTTGGTTGTTTGAAAAGAATCATGGCAAGCCACAATTAATCCCTACGAAGGATTCGTGCAAAAGCTATCATTTGTGAATGAGAGAACGTGCAGTCTAAAAAGGAAATGACTGAGCAACGAATTGTGTCGGTACTTGCTTCATCACCTTGCAGCGCACACATATTTGACCAAGTAATGCTCCGGGAGAACCTATGATACTGAAACAAACTGGACTCCAGAATAACAAGAATGAATTGACACGGCCCACGCGATTCTCTTTGTTGTCCTGACCTGGGAGCTGATATTGATGCCTTTCAATCCGTCCTTCTGTAAAAAATTAGTTGAACAGGAGTCCTTATGAATTGGTGGTATATTTTTCAGTGCCGCGGTCAATGGGAAGCCCGAAGGATATGACCAAAGTTTGTGGACAGAAACGACCTTTTTATCCTACAATTGATAGGCGGAGTGTCGAAGAGCCAGACGATGATGACGAAGGAGCCGACGAATTCTCCCTCCGTTCGGAGAAGAAGAGGAGGTTGTCATTTGATCAGGTGCAATCGCTGGAGCGAAGTTTCGAATTGGAAAACAAGCTGGAGCCCGAGAGGAAACTGCAGTTGGCTAAGGAGCTTGGCTTGCAACCTCGTCAAGTGGCTGTGTGGTTCCAGAACAGACGCGCAAGGTGGAAAATCAAACAGCTCGAGCGCGACTACGGCGCTTTAGCAAAGGACTACAACAGACTTAAAGAAGAATTTGAAGCCGTTAGCCGAGACAGAAATGGTTACAAAGCTGAGGTTATAAGCATTTTAAACCCTCCCATCATAACTCAAACTTCTGTGTTAAGGCTCAAGCAGTGTCAACCATGTTTTTTGCTGGTGACCTATGTCACTGAATCTAATCTCTGAATTCCTCTGTCTCGCAGGTGAATCTCCTGAAGGGAATTCGTAATGACGACCCAGATTCTCCAATAACAACGCCTATTCGGTGCCTGAGTGAGACGATGCATCACCCTGCCTCCCCGGCGCAATCGGAAAAATCCGACATTATCTCGTGTAGAAATTGCGCCTCACCCTCCATAGACGTGAACCCCGTACCATCTAAGGAAGCTGGCGTTACAGGAACCATGAGCCCGGACTGCAATTCTAGCAACACCATAGACGCAGACAGCCCCCTCACAAGCCACAGCACCACTAGCTGGAGAAGTTTGTATACTCGGATGGCGCAGACCGACAAGGCGCCGTGGGGGGCCCAGCACACCCAATTCCCTCCCGAGAGCTTTGCAGGTCCCAACTTTCCACATCCCTGCGCGGATCAGAGCCTCGCTGCGGCAGTTGCTGGTGCCCGAGTGAAGATTCACAACCTCGGTGCCGATCAAGCCTTCGTTGCCTCTCGAATGGAGGAGCAAACCATTTTGACCAATTGGTGGGACTGGGATTAATATGAACCCGACGTACTGCTTGATCTGGATTCGATCCACATGCTTATTCCTCGGCTTCCGGCTTCACTCCCGGCTGCTCTTTTCATGTGGTACTAGACACAGTTCCTTCACCATGTGTAATCCAACGTCAATACGAGCCGCACTGTCGGGGATCACTGGTGCCCATATCCAGCACCGATCGCCATCATCACTTGTCGGTGGTCCCACCAGAACTTTTGCGTGGTAGCAATGGAATCACGACAACCAGACGCTTCCAGATTATGCTATGCTGCAACCCTTTGCTGTGCAAATGCACTATTGGCCATAGTTTGAAAATCTTGTTAGATACCTCAGCTTGTGTAAATACCCAGATTAGGGACACACAACCCTCTCAGGACGAGAGCTTCGAATTCAATAATCACAATGATCTAGTACCGAAAACCTCAGTCTCCTTGCCTTAGTGACCCCGCACCATTTCCACCTCTTCGGTGCATCACTGTTCTTCTAGCCCCCGTAATTGTACATACCGGAATAAGTATTTCTTCCTCAAGGCAGGAAGAGGGTTAGAAATCAAAAGCGCATACATGTGTGATACTGAACGAAAACTGATGAAATATCTCTCAGTAATCTTCAAAAGCAGAAAAATGTGTCTGAAAGTTTCAATTCCTTAATCCTGACATGCTCCTCTGGAGCATTCCACCAATGCTCACCAATCACTTTCGGAAGCAGTCTTCAATGGATGGGAATTCACCAGTCTAGTTTGCAGAATAAGAACAGCGAGTGTGAGAATTGTATTTTAAGAGCCACGATGTTTTTCAAAGCTTGGGAAAGATAGAGTTGCAGGAAATCTTATTTGCTTGCCACCATTGCAGAAATCTTCAGCTTTGAAAGAAGAAGAAGAAGAATGAGAAGCAGACAAAGACACTGACACTGTACTATTTGCAATGCTGTGGAGGTTTTGGGGGTATAGACTGGGCCAATGACAAGAGTCAGCGCACGTTGACCATGTGATTATTGTTGTTTTTAATCACTACTTTCGACTTTCTTAATGTTTTCAGTATTATCTTCGCTGTTTTAATATGAAAAATCAAAGGATCTGTTTGATTGTGCTGGATGAAATGTAATGGAATGAGCATCTGTGTTGTGTATGTTGGATAACAAAGTTTTTGAAAAACAAATTTAGAGATTATGAAGGTTTTATATGGCTGATTTTAATTAGAGAATTGATGTTAAGATTTTGCATTTGATACCAACTTGCATTGTAAACTCAAAATGCTTGATATGATGTTAAGACATTGTATGTAACCTGGATTAATTTACTGTACAGTCTTTATTGCCATTTTTATTGTACATCTTTCTTATTAGAATGAATTGTGAATATCTCTGCCAAAGTGATTTTTATGTTTTACAAGAAAGTTACATATAAAGATTATGGTTGTCAATGTGTTGGCCAATTGTAGATTTGTACAAATGAATGTATTAAGAAATTACAATGTTTTTATGGCTAGTAAATGAATTACGTAAAATTTCAATGAAAAAGTTAGAGCATGGGAATAGAATGAACATAAAATATCTTTTACAGTCAACTCACAAAACACATGTACAATCTAAATTACTATTTATTTTTATTTTAATAATATGATCAATATACTTTTTATGAAAGGAAATTTACAAAAAAATTATCTCAGAAATAACATATCAAAAAAAAAAAAAAAAAAAAAAAAAAATCACTGAGGTTGAAAAGGAAAATTGCAAAAACCATGAATTCAGACCCTGAAGTAACGAATGTGACGATTTACATATTCTCTTTAAATTTATAAATACAAATATATTTTGATAAAAACATTTAAAATTTAAAGCGTGGTTTAAGCAAATGATAAATTTCTTAAAAATTATTCTAAAAATTATTCAAATGTGGCATAGTTACATAAATAATCATAGAAGTATTTTTTAGCCATTATGTTGATTCTGAGGCTCAAAATACAATATCAATGAATGGTATTTTTTAGGACTTGAGATTTAAGTCAATACCAATGTTAATGTGACCATCAATTGCATTGTAAAAGACCCGATTATTGTTAGGAAATCATTAACATGAATCAATTGAAGCAAATTTACAGTATATCATTACTTGAAATTGTACTCATATAAATATACCATCATCAAAGACCATTATTTGTACATTTCTACAAATAAGTTAGTAACACAAAGACCTAAATCATTATCAGATTTTCAAAAACACTTTTCAAATCCATTAATCGAAATAATCACACATTCTTACACCTATCAACACTAGTCTACTAATCACACGTTTAATCCACACTTCAACTAATATCACAAAGTCATACAAATTTTTCACGTCGTAAGGGATGTCTAAAAAAAATTTAAAAAATAAAAATAAATTTCACAACACCACTCTACTTTAACAAAAAGATTAAGTACTGTGTACGATTCCCTGTTGCAAACAACAATCCCAACAAGTGATCAAGGGAACGGTACAAAGCTTTAAGTATGAGAAGCCCTAAAGGATTTGAAACTGGTCTTGGAAACAACGGAGGACGAAGCTGCGCCGAAGTTGCAGTCGCCGCAGCGGCGTCTAGCATCGCGATGCGCCGGCAGCGTTGATAGAAGCAAAACTCGATGCTCGGAAACTGTCGGATCGAGTTTTGCAAGCGCTCGGCGTCGTCTCCACACAAGTCCAGCTCCGCACAGACCTTATCATTAGTCCCTATGAAGTTGATATCGATCGCAGCGTGGTGTCGCAAGCCGTGCCTGAACAGCCAGGACACTGCAGGCTTTGGATCTAGTTGAGTATTGCCCTAAGGTGGAATCTGAGTTTATGTCTTGGGGATCAGAAGATGATGTCATAAATTTGGTCTTGATCACTTCGATAAACTTTGTATCTTGTTCTTGCACGTTTTAGTCATTTTTAACTAATTTTCTTCTGGACCCATGTTGTGTGTGTGTCTGGACATGTTTCGGAGGATCCGTGGTCAAACTTCCATTGTTATTTCCCACATCAATGTTAAGCTTCAGAAGATCAGCAGCAACAGCAGAATTAGGGATCTTGGAGCTCTGATCTCATGGTTCAGGAAAAGAATTCCGTAAGCCGTGTTGATTAGATGCAGCATTGTGGGTCAGAGAGTATTGAGATTGCCATTGCTCCTCTTGTCTGTAGTTCGATCCGTGGATCCAATTATTCTCAGACGGCTTTTTTCAAATACTTCAGCTTTACCTGGGCATGGGTGGAAATTTATAAGTTAATATGTGGTAACCAATCTCAAACTTGGACAATCTTGAGGGGATTGTTCGATCGATAATCATTAAAAAGATCGATGAAATTTAGGTTGGTCTAATTCTGGAAACAGCTCCTTGTGGGAAAACACGGTCTTGCCCCCCTTGTTACGCAGAAGAGACAACCATGACTTTTGTTCTGACCATCATGTCTGGAGGTCGTGCCAATGTCTGACCTTACCATTTATTAGATTAGTGTTTTCCTCCTTCAAGTTACGCTGTCGCTCTTGTTCGTCCTCGACCTGAAGCGCAAAGCACTGCGCAGTTCCCGCCGAAAGTGACACACAAGTTTCGTCAATAAACAGGTTGAGCCACCTCTGGCACAAGTTGGTTCGTAGTTGATGTCGTCGCAATGCGTCTCGGCACAGGTTGTGTCTATGGATCCACGTCCTCACATTAAACAGCATGACGTGTCCGGAGAATCGACGCGGTTGAGTGGCTGTTGGGGATGAGATGGTCATTCGAAGAGTATCGTGATGAGCCCCCAATAAAACCCGACGAAGGATACCTGCAACAGCTATCATTGCGAATGTGAAGAACGTGGGATCTGGGCGAGCCTGGTTCGCGTTGCTAAGCTACCGATCGATCGTCTGTCTCGACGATGGCAAAAACTAGACTCAAAATCCTTCAATCGAGCATTTAGTATGAAGTTGAAGCTTTGCATTCCATCCTCGTTCAATCAGACGCGTCACCTTGTTGGTGGTAACGTTCACTCAAAGTAGATGGAGGGGGTTCAGGGTCCAACTGTTTTCGTGTGATGAAAAAATAACTTTTTATTTAATGATAGGGAGTTGGCAGAATTTTGAGGGATTGATTCGTTTGCACTCGAGTACTCATCAATTGATTCGTAGTGAAAACAAGATCTTGATCGGGTCTCTTGCGTCCGCTGCAGATCTCCTTTTTCCACACCAGGACTGTAATGGGACTTACTCTAAGCTAAAGACGATCAAAAAACTTTCTCTTCCTCTGTCCCTAACGCATAATCGATGAGATCTGTAGCCTTGCCGACGTAAACATCGAAATACTGTGCACTGTAAATGCTAAAAATTCACGTTATCATTCACGTACATCTACATTGAAGTCAACACTTAATTAGTAAATTTATGCATGTTGTTATAGTTGCATGTTGTTATAGTTGCAAGCATTGCATCCACTTAGTTAATAATTAGCCAAACACCAAAAATCACCAAAAACATTATCTTTATTGTTTTTCAAATTATCAAATATTATAATTTAAATAATGATTTGCAAAGCCAAATTGCTTTAGCTAGTGCCATATATTTGCTTTATGTAGATGGTAATGCAATACTTTATTGCTTTTTATTCCTCTAAGAAATCAATTTCTAGCTAAAAAACATGAGTAACCTAAAATTAACTTGTAAGTAATCCTATTGCTTGCTCAATATGGATTGGAGAAACTATAGACAATATGACTTATACTTGATTGTTGTTATTTTATTCCAACATTATATGATTCTTTAATATATCTTATAGTTTATTTTATATTTTGAATATAAGATATATTAGAATTAAAAAAGATACTGTGCCAAATTGTTGATAATATGAATACAATCCAATTTATAACTAATATAAGTATGCTTTTATAAAATGCAAGAACTTGAAGAATAAAAATAAAAATGTGAGACTTGTTTTAAAGAAAGATAACAAAAAAAAGAAGATAAAATATATATGTTTAAGAAGAAACTAGAATAATTATTGCCAAAGACAAGAAGACTATAGACTCTTAAAACAAGACTAAAAGTAAGAAAGAAGTTGATAAGAGTGAAGAAGATCTCATTTTTGCTTCTATATTTACTATTTAGCTAAAAGCTATGTGATAATATTCAATATGACTTTCAAAATGTGCCCAATTTGTAAAATAAGTTTCCTACATGTGTGCCACATGATCAATATACACTATAGGTGGCCAACTTGTTGGCTAGGTTTTTAATCTATCAATCACCTAAAAGCACATATAAAATTAAGACCATGTCTAAGAAGCTTCTAAAACTTTATCCCACAAGATGTTATAACATTTATTTAATTTTACTTATTTCTATTTAATTCCTCTTATTTATGTAATCAATAGTATTGATTATGTTTGTGATAGCATTAAGCTCCCAACTGATTGAAAATATAGAAACCTTGCTATTAAAGTCTATTTCTTAAAATTAAGAAAAAAGAATTTTTTATTCAATTATATCCTTGATTGCATTGATATATAAATATGGTTATAATTTTTTATGTAGCAAGTTTTTATAAAATTAGAATTTAAGTAGCAACTTACAAAATCTACATACTATATAGAGATAGGATCTCATTATATAATGAGTGCAACCATATTTTGTCTATGAGATTGTGTGACTATATTTGATTATTTTTTTTTTTTTTAGTGGTAATTTATATTCTATAATTTTAAATG